GGCCTGGGGGGGGGGGGGCGGGGGGGGGACACCCCCCAGGGACTGGCACAGCCACCGTCACCCCATGGGTTCAGGGGCACAGGGATGGTGGGGACAGCCTGCAGCAGCGGGGCAGAGCACGGTGTCCCCGCCCCGTCCCTGGCACCCCCAGGTGTCACACATTTGTGTCATGGGGCAATGCAGCTGCAGGCTCATTAATTTCCAAGCTAACGAAGCCCCTCCAAGGCACAGGGGGGGCTGCACTGCCCCCAGCCCAGCTCCGGTCTCTCCCACCTCGGCTGTTCCCACACCAGAGCCCCAGACCCCCGCAGTGGGGTCCCCAGGTGAGCATGGCTCAGGTCCCACATCCCCTGTGGTGCATCACGGGGAGGGGGGATACCCCAAAACACAGCTGCTCTGGCTTCCCTGCAGCTCGCCCCAGTGCTTCCCAGTATAGCAGAGGTGGGTGGCGGGTCCTTCCCTCTCCTTCCCAGCTTGCCCACCCCGGCTGGCAGGGCTCGTACTTCTCTCTCCCGCTCTGCCCAGCCAGGGGTGCGCCCGCCAGGCTGATAGAACCCGGTGTCACCCCAGGCTCTGGTCTGTCCCCCAGTTTGGTGTCGCTGGAGCTGCTGGGCAGTTGCAGCCCCATGGGGCAGGGCTGGGGCTGCAGTGACTCCCCCTGCGTGGGGCTGCCAAGGGGGCTGGGGACCCCAGGGGCAAAGACACCCACCCCAGCTGGAGAGGGGTGCCCCCTCCCCTGCCCCTGGCTTGCCCGCAGCACCGGGAGGGCCTCTCAGCTCCACACCAAGGGGTGGGGGCCAGGCCCTGGGTGCCAGCTGGGGTGATGGGGAGGAGGACAAAGGCAACAGCTCCCTTGGGGAGGGCTTGCGACAGGTCCCCTCCTTGCAGGCTCTTGCACCACCACCCCCATGTGCCAAGGGGGGCAAGTGGCTGAGCCCCCCCACCCCCACCCAGCAGAAAGAAGATGAGCTGGCAGCACAGCAGCTTCACCTCAATAAATATATTTACAGAGCAGCAGATACTACAAAGAGTTGGCCATGTCCGGCCAGCAGGGTGCAAGGAGGGGCTGTGCCAGCCTCCCCGCCCCAGCATTGACCTAGCAGGGTGCTGGGACCCCCGGGGGTGGAGGGGGTGACAGGGGAGGGGTGACAGGGCACCCGACCCTCAGTGCAGTGTCTTCCTGCAGGGCAGGGGTGGGAGGGTGCAGGGCAGGAGGCTCTGCAGCGGGGGGGTGCTCTCCCCCTCCTTCGTCTCCTCCGTGGCGTCCAGGAGCTGCTGCAT